CAGGACTTTGCGGTGGCCAATCCATAATTTCCAAATCTTGCTCGCTAAGGTAACTCATTACCACCTTTGCCTTGTGACATGGGGCATTATCTTGCATAAAGGTAGCCCTATCGAAACCTGAATTCTGTATGATTGGCGATTTTTGAAAATGTTTTATAGATCTGCGCGTTTACACGAGTTTGTAACCGGACAAGAGGCGTTGTAAAAACATTCCAAATACCATGACGCTTCCGCCCCCAAACTTGACAGTTTTCTTAGTACACTTTGCACTTAATCTTTCACCAATACGTCTCTTTACATTGTTTTTTCCATCATTTCCAAATAAATTAAACTTGCTTTCATCACTGAAAAATACTTTTGCCCAATTTTCTTATGTCCAAATTATATCTGTTTGCAAACTCTAATCTCTTCTTCTTATTCTTCGAACTAACAAGTGGTTTCTTCCTGGGGTTCGATTAAATATTTTTTGCAGTTCTACAAACAGTCTGTCTTGACACATTAACACATGAAGTACTATTCATAACCCTTTTAATTTCTGTGGACTTAAAACGGTCCTTTAATGACATACATTATTCGATCTTCTCTTGCCGAAGTTTTGCGGGGTCTGCCGGTTTTAAAAGCACTAACTATTTTGCCAGTATCATTGTAGGATTTAACAACCCTGTTATACAACACTCTTGGAACGTTTCACTTTCTCTGAAATCTCTCTAATGGTGTGCTTTTCATTGTAGCTTCACAACAGCTTGTCTCATAGCGTAATCAAGTTTTTGGCGTTTCGCCATGGTGCCCTGATGCAACGTTTACAAATGACTAAGTAAGACTTATTCTTTAGAGGAAATCAAAAATTTGAATATAGCATACTGTTTACATTGTTTTTTCAATTTTGTCCCTTTACTTTTGGACGATCCTATTTTCAAAATAAATAAATAATTATTATAATTCTTTTCTATCCTTTTGCAAATGATTCAAATTTTATTTGGATGATAACGACTACCAGTTGTCAAAATTTCAGCTTTTCACAGTTATTATTTCTAACAAATATTAGGTTTTAAAATTTTGTCCCTTAGTTTTGGACGCTACTATATATATATATATATATATATATATATATATATATATATATATATATACATAAATGAAGAGCGAAAAAGTCCACCTTGAAGCACTCTTTTATTGCTATAAACAAAAACACACACATATATATATATATATATATATATATATATATATATATATATATATATATACACATACATTTATATATATATATATATATATATATATATATATATATATATGAAACATATATATATTTCTTCTCGGAGTTTCATGCAAACGTGAAACATTCAGTCGGCATTTTGCATCAGAAGATTGCAAATTCGACGTTGGATATTATGTAAAAACACCAATATATATATATATATATATATATATATATATATATATATATATATATGTGTGTGTGTGTGTGTATGAATAGACAATCCTATTTGAAGGGATTGAGAAAGATAAAAGAAAAACGAATATTGATGAAGTTGAAAATTATCAGCATGACACAAACATAAAAAGGGATAACAGATGTGAAAAGAAAAAAGATCTTTGACAGCTGAGACAAAATAATGCGATGATGCTCGGCACACCTGCAAAGACACGCACACACACACACACACACACACACACACACACACACACACACATATATATATATATATATATATATATATATATATATATATATAAATATATATATAATATTATATGAAAATATTACTTAACTTTTGAATATCAATTTTACCCCGTTTTTGAAGTTTCTTGGTAATATTTCGAGTCTTCAGGGTGTACTGGTTTTAAATGATATTTCCATTTCTGAAAAAAAAAATTTCCATTTGAATCTTCAATCTTATATATATATATATATATATATATATATATATATATATATATATTCTCAAGCCTTGTATCGAATAAATCAGCCAATAACATTTTTTGGGGAACGACACCTCATTCCTGCATGTGGTTTTCAGAGAACTATTCTTGTTGCATGAAGACACTATTGCGGCAATCTTGGTGTGGTTTGGATGCCTAATTGTCCCTTTTTTAACTATTTCACCCCAAGCTAGGCAATAAAGCCACTCAGAGACAAAGGGGATTACTGAGTGTTAGAGAATATGAGAAAGAACACTATTAATGAGAGAGAACAATAAAAGAACAAGAATTGAGAAGACAGAAGATAACAAATGACACTGCATTTTAATTTTTTAAGATCGTAGTCGACTGGAAAGCAAGAAGTCGGAAAAGTGTTCCACAAGCGAGAAGTACGAGAGAAGAAACTGAATTTATGTTTATATCTTGCTAACTTAAAAATGATGAGACCTAGCCGCCAATCTAGTACTGCACTTAAATTCATAAAGTCTAGGTACCACCGAGGAAAGCTCAGCAGACAAATACCATGAAATTATATTAAAAAAAAAATACACAAGGAATTTATGTTACGATGCTTTTCTCTCTCTCTATATATATATATATATATATATATATATATATATATATATATATATATAATATAAAACAATAAAAATTAAAAATTTTTAGACACATGGGTTGTAGATTAATATTCTTTCGTTTTTTATTATTATTTGGTTTAGATTCCTCATATATATATATATATATATATATATATATATATATTCATTTACCCGCCTCACCACGGCGAAGAGATGTGACACAAGGTCGGATTTAATGTGGACGGCCCTTTCGCCTTATATTTGTGACTCAATAAGAACACCTGATTATATATCTTACTGTTCTTTCTCATTATTTCATCTATCTATCTATCTATCTATCTATCTATCTATATATATATATATATATATATATATATATATATATAGAGAGAGAGAGAGAGAGAGAGATAGATAGATAGATAGATAGATAGATAGATAGATAGATAGATAGATGGAGCGATAGTGAGATAGATAAATAATGAACATACTTAGAGAATAAACAGACTGAAGTAGATAATGAACAGTGGGAGAAAGAGAGAGGAAGACAGATAAAGTGAGAGGGAAAGAGAAGGAAAGAAAAATGGTGGAAGAAGGAGAGAGAGGATGAAAATGTAAGAACAAGAAGACAGAAGTTAACGATTGACATTGCATTTAAATTTTTGATGATCAAAGTTGCCTGGGAAGCAAGAAGCCGGAAGAGAGTTCCAAAAGCGAGAAGGGGAAATGAAGTAACTGTTAGCATAGAAGCTTATGGGCTAGATTCTTCGGTTCCACGAAACCCTGGCCTTTGCAGCTGCAACCAGGCCGCGTCCACAAGAGTGAATAATTCTTGTTTCCCCCGTATTTCATTACTAATAAGCAAGTTTCACTTAAACAGTTTCTTCACAAGAAAATTTTGTGTAGTCTTTTACAAAATGAGAATGAAACATTCTTGTGTACGTGGCATGGTTTCAGCTGCAAATGCTAGAGTTTCGTGGAACCATTGAATATAGCCCGTAAACTTCTTCCCGACAGGATGTTTTCTCGATCATGGCAATCATGACCCCTTCAAGTTTAGCGTCCAACGTTATCTTTCCTGCATAAATTCTTGGTTTTTCTTTCTTTATTTCCAAGTTATAAAAATTGTTATCGTACAAAGAAATTGGTCGCAAAAATAATGCACAAAAATCGACGAAAACAATCCCAAGAATAAAAACTTGGGAATCCAAAATTTTCAGGATTGCCGGTCCGGATCTGACCCGGAATATTTTTAATTTGCTCAGGGAATCGGCTTGATTCCAAAATGGTATTATATATTGGACTACATCCTCTAGGAGTTAAAGTTGAAAAACAGTGACACACTAATATTCGCATTTATTATATCAATGCTTTATTCAATGACGAAATCTAAATACATTGTACGTAATTTTATGCTTTCATATTAAAGTTATTTTTCTTTTAGAAATATAGTTTTTAGCTCATAAAATGCATTATTGGTGATTTTACTATAAAAATGCATTGTAGCTCATTTTGTTATAAAGATGTAATGTTGAATTTTTTTGTTTAGGGATTCACTATTTGCCTGTAGCTGGGAGCCTAACAGGTGCTACCACCACGGGTTAAGGTGGGGCTGGGAACAACAGTAATTAAGAGGAGAAACTTTGAAATCGCTTAAGAGATGAATCGATTGAACTTTTATTAATTTATTTCTTTGGTTTGGTTTGTTTTACGGTATATCAACCCATCGGGTCATTTAATGCCGAAATTTTTTTTTTTTTTGTTTTTTTTTTTTTTTGTGGCATATTAACATCTTATGCGTCATTCAATGCCGAAATGTAATTTCTTGGAGGCATTAGTAATTTCTTTTACAAAAATATATTACTGGTAATTTTTACTGTATGAATGTATTTTGACACTTTCACAGTGTTTTGATCACATTTTGAGGGTTAACTATTCCCCATAGCTGGGACCTCAACAGGCGCCATGATCCCAGATCATGTTGGGACTTGTAGCAACAGCAATTAAGCAATGGTTCCACGCCCCTCAAAACCGAACAGGGGCTTTGTTGCTGGATATAGTTTATCGTCATACCCAGGACACTATTAATTTGATTATATGAAATCTTGTATTTTATTGAGCACCTCCTTTTTTTTTAGACATTTCGCCCCAAGTAAGGCGATAGTGCCACTAAGACGCAGGAGGAGAAAGGGCAACAAAAGAACAGGTTCCGTGAAGACAGAAGATGACGATTGATGTTGCATTTTAATTTCTGAAGATTATAATTGACACGGAAGCAAGAAACCAGAAGATAGTTCCACAAGTGAGAAGTGCGAGAGAAGAAACTATCAGAATAGAACTTACGGTTACATCTAGCTAGTTCAACAGTAAAACGGTGAGACCTAATAGCCAATCCAGTATTACGTTTAAATTCAAGAGGTCAAGTTACCAAGGAATAGAGCTCATGAGAACAGCTGCTATGGAAATTTTTATAGAAAAAAAAAAAGGAAGCTACCTCACGGCGATGTGAAAGTCGAGATTTCAGGTCAGGGTCGACAATACTGCAGACCCTTCTTTTGGATAGCCATTGAATCTATAACTGGTACTCGAATCACAACACCACCGTTGAGCAGAGTAAGATTTTGGTGTCGAAAACAGTCTTTTCGTTCCCCCATAATCACTATCACTGGCTATACGTTTTCGAGGAGCGCGTAAGCGCTGCAGGGTCGCTCTGAATGTGGTTTATCGTGCACATCTCTGTCGCAACTGCCGAAACGCATTAGCAAACGCCTGTGTTCACATGCGGTGTTTGGTTTCCGAGAAAGCCCAGGAAGCGTTGTTGAATACACTATTTACCTTATTCGGACTATGCGAGGCCACAAAAATCTCCTGAGCCGACCAAGCATAGAAATGAATACAATATGGGAACCAGTTATAAAGAGTGACAGAGAAAAGCCATAATAACAACAAACATTGCAATATGAGCTCTGGTAAAAACATAATGAGGATAACAAAAAAAAAAAAATGCAATATAAGCACTCGTAAAAAGTAGTTGCTGATGACATTAGGTTTATAATACCCAGAAATTCATACACAAATGTCCTCAAGGACACATGGCACAGTGGACAAAGGCGTTAGTTAGATCCAGTAACAATACCTGGTTAAGGCAGTGAAGAACTTGGAGAGGGGAATTAACAGGAGATAACTGACCTCCATTAGACATGGCACGTGGAACTAGAATAGTCTACCCCAATGAGCGATATAAAGGGTTCAGTTCGACATTCCAGCCCCCCTGAAGAAGGTCGGAGCATACAACGACTGAAACGTTGTAATAAATATGGCGACAAAAATGAGGACAATTGTCCGAATAATGTAAATAGTGTACATAATACCTCATCTCAGAAATATAGACAGATACTGAACGTGTACAAATTAGATACTGAACGAGTGAAAATTTTTTTCCATATGGAGGAATTTGGTGACACCCTCCCCACAAGTTGGTGCTCACTCTCATGTCAGACGCCATTTTGCCAGACCGTTGAGGACAAAATGAGAGGCATTACTTTCGGTACGATCATCGTATATATGTTAAAGGGTGCACCGAAAGTAATGCCTCTACACAAGAACACTAAACAACCGCCTCTGACGTCAGGGGCCAAAATAGGAGGCATTACTTTCGGGGCGATCCTCGTATATATGTATAGGACGCTCCGAAAGTAATGCCTCTACACCAGACCATCAAACATCCGCCTCTGACGTCATCAGTCGAAATTGGTGTCTCGCTTTCGATCTCTCTTTCTTCTTACCTTTCTCTCTCCGCTTTTTTCTCGTTCAATGTCTTTTTGATTTCCCTTTCTTTTTTCTCTCTCTTCCCACTTCTTTCTTTCTTTCTTTTTTAATTCTGTTGATTACTTTCTTTCTTTTACTATATATTTTGGAACTTTTTATAATTTTCTTATATTTCTTCATCTTTTTTTCATTTTCTTTCTTTCTCATGTTCCGTCCTGGGTAAGACGATAAACTACGTCCAACAGCAAGGCCTCTAATCAATTGAGGAGCATGGAACCACCTCTTAATTGCTGGTGTTCCAAATTCTAACCTGACCCGGGGTGGTAGCACCTGTTAGGGTCCCAGCTATGGGCAAATAGTTAACCCCTAAACTAAGATCAAAGCACTGTGAAAATGTAAAAATAGGATTTAATATCAGCAATTTTTGAAGCAAAAAATATTAACAGCAATACATTTTTGTAAATAATTACTAGCAGCAATACATTTTGGAAGGTTTATTACCGGCAATAAAAATCTTGTCGGCATTAAATAATCCATTGAGGTTGATAAGCCGTAAAACAAAACAAACCAAACTTTCTCATATTTTTGTTCTTTTTTTCCAATATTTCTTCATTTTTCTTTCTTTTTTCAGTTTCTTTTTTTCGTTTTTAATTCTGTTTCTTTCTTTCTTTTACTACATATTTTGAGACTTTTCTTCATCGTTTTTCATTTCTTTTTCATATTTCTTTTTCTTTCTTTCTTTTTTTTTGACCAATATTTCTTTATCTTTCTTCTTTCTCGCCTTCATTCCTGCTTTCTTTCTTTTCGTTCGGGTTTATTCATTTGTCTTTCAAGACATACCACACCATCATTCGCTTTCTCTCTTTCTCTTTCACCCATTTTATTTTTTTTTTCTTCCTCTCTTTTCTTTTTCATTTCCTTCGTCCTCTTTGTTCGTTTTTATTTCATTCTTTATTTATTGATTTCATTTCTACTTTTTAATTTCATTTCTTTTTCACTCCCGTATTCTTCCTTCCTGTTTCAATTTTCCTTCACGAGATTTTTCTCGTTTTCTTGTTCCGAATCTTTATTGAAATCTCGATCTCGTACGTGTGACTCTCGCTGGCAACGGGATCTCATCCGGATTAGGCTTGCACGTTTTCAATCAAATCAACCCCCGCCCCCGCTTACCATAATCATAATCCTCCCACCAACTTGCGTCACAGCAATCGCCAAATTTAATGTAACCTAATCAGTCATAAACAAAACTGGCTTGGTATTTTTAACCTTGCAAAAAAAAAAAAAAAAAATCCTTCAACCTACATTAAAAAAAAAAAAAAAAAAATACGTTGCTTTTTGAAGCAAGAAAAAAACAAATCAGATTCCAGAAACAAGTCGAAGAAAAACAAATAATCGTACGCCTGGCTTTCAATGGAGTTCATTATAAAGTACATACACTGTATAATTAAAGAGAATTACACACACACACACACACACACACACACACACACACACACACACAATATATATATATATATATGTGTGCGTGTATATATATATATATATATATATGTGTGTGTGTGTGTGTGTGTGTACACAATGTACATATATATATATTAAATGACAAAATGGAAAAAAACATTATATGTGATGTGTTTCGTCTTTCGAAAGCACTTCATCAGACTAAAAGAATGTTTGTCCATATTTCTGAGATGAAGTATTTTAACAATGACAAAATGGGAAAAAAAAACATTATATATGATGTGTTTCGTCTTTCGAAAGGACTTCATCAGTCTAAAACAATGTTTGTCTATGTTTCTGGGATGAAGTATTGTAGCTATTTACAGTATTCACATTGTCCTTATCATTACTGTCACGATGTTTCGCCCGTTGTATGCCGTCGGCCTTCTTCAGGTGATATATATATATATATATTTATATGTGTGTGTGTGTGTGTGTATACATATATGTATATGCTGATTCCTTAATTAAAGTCAGTATGTATATATGCGGAGGGAATATATAGAAGCACAGATGAGTTGCACACGGTGCGAAACCTGTGTCTTGTTTGTCGAATCACTATTGATTGTCGGTGGTGTTTAATAATATTTATTTGTTTCTAAGCTCAGGAGTCGGCTGTATCCTGCATAGGTTTTAGTATAGTAGGGTCAGTCAGTTACGTGTCATGCTTTGGATACATGACTGACGAGGCAGATTTTTCCCGCAGTAGGTTGCCATTTCTTTCTGCGGTTGACCAGTTGCCATCCAAGGTCTATCCTGCTATTTACCCATAGCTGGGGGGGAGAGGATTCATAGCTTTCCGAAGGGTATTGGCACGTAACTGGAATTCGAACTCGGCTCTCCGATTTCTCAATCCGAGCCGCTATCCATTACCCCGCCGTAGGGTAGGGATCTTTTATATCTAGTTGTATAAATTCGGAATTATGTTTTTTTCTTTTGAGGTTCTAGAACCAGGTTATAAGTTTTTATTTTTTATTTTTTGGGTGTGGGGTTTCGACCGATTTACTCTAGACATCTTCCTAAGTTTTTCTAGTACTATTTTACGTATTTTACCTAGTTCACTTTTGGTTGTGTTCATGAGACTTCACATTGGGCTTGTTTTGAATTTTTCATTGTCTTCTTTTCGCATAATAAATACTTGTGGTTTAGCCTTGCAATTTATTCCGTCGTCTAGGCATCATATTTGGATGATTGTATTGGCTTTCATATTAATATAGTTGTTATTGGTACTTTACTGTAGGATTTATTTATGTTGTCCTTGCGTATAAATTTCTAGTATTACCTTTCTTTTTATGTGCCATGTCCTTTCAGGACGTAGGCGATCATGGCACTCGACCTCCTCCCTATCCCTTGCAGCTCTCAACAAGTTACGTCCCTCTGCCACCTCCCCTAGACCACATTCCATCATCCACTTGCTTAAAGCCGTTAGGTATGACATACGTTGTTTTCCCTTGTCACTCCTTCCCTTTATTCGACCCGTGAGTATCAGATTCTCCAGGCCCTCCTTCCTCATTATGTGTCCCAGAAACTTCAGCTGCCTATTCCTGATGTTAAGTATAAGCCTCCTCCTTGTTTTCACCCTCTCTAAAACCTCATCGTCACTCACACCCTCGGTTCATGTTATGCTTAGCATCCTTCTGTAGAATCATACATACATACATACATAGCAGTTGACTACTTCCTCTACGCGCCGCTGGCGAATCTTATATGTGTTGTTCTTGTACTAAGTATTATCGTTTGATTATTATATTCAGTAACCTTCCCTAGGTTACAACAATCTTGTTCAATTTTGGTTGGAAGTATGAGACAGCATGTTAGATTTGTTTTGAATTTTTCATTGTCTTCTTTCAGCATAATAAATGCTTGTGGTTTAGTGATGCAATTTATTTGGTCGTCTTCGTGTCATATTTAGGGATTCTTTTAGCTTTCATATTAATATTGTTGTTTTTGATGCTTTTCCATAAGCTTTAGTTATATTGGGTTTGGGGGGGGGGTGGCTGAGTTCGTATAAATTTATAGTATTACCGCCCACCCCAAAAGCGTTAAAATAATAAAATAGCTCTACCTACAAGACATCGTTGAGCAGCATATATAAATAGTCGAACATGACTGGAGACTGCGTTTAAGCATGAAACAGACTGTTGCCGCTAGTTGTTGACCTCAGTGTCGACATTGGATCAGAACGTACAGGTTACGGACAAGACCTGCACATCGGAAGACCACACGTACGAGACACCAGGTACACAAATAAGGATGAACGTATTTCAAATGAGGCTGGGTAAACACGAATATAAGGCCTTCGCAATGCACGGCAATCCCGTTGTGCGGTCAACGAGGCGTACTGCCATGCTCTGGTATTAACACGTATCTCGGTGCTGACACGACTGACTGGCACTCTGCCCAAAGACAGAGACGCAACTGAGTGGCATTCTACCCCAATATAAAGACACAGCTGAGTTGCATACTACATGAAAACAGAGACGCAACTGAGTGACACTGTACTCGAAGACGGAGACGCAAGTGAGTTGCACTCTGCCCGAAGACGTAGACGCAAGTGAGTGGCACTCTGTCCGAAGACGGAGATGCAAGTGAGTGGCATTCTTTCCGAAGACGGAGACGCAACTGAGTGGCATTCTATCCGAAGACGGAGACGCAACTGAGTGGCATTCTATCCGAAGACGGAGACGCAAGTGAGTGACACTCTGCCCAAAGACGAAGACGCAACTGAGTGACACTCTGCCCGAAGTCGGAGATGCAAGTGAGTGGCATTCTACCCGAAGACTTAGACGCAAGTGAGTGACACTCAGCCCGAAGACGGAGATGCAAGTGAGTGGCACTCTGCCCGAAGACGGAGATGCAAGTGAGTGGCACTCTGCCCGAAGACGGAGACGCAACTGAGTGGCATTCTACCCGAAGACGGAGACGCAAGTGAGTGACACTCTGCCCAAAGACGAAGACGCAACTGAGTGACACTCTGCCCGAAGTCGGAGATGCAAGTGAGTGGCATTCTACCCGAAGACTTAGACGCAAGTGAGTGACACTCTGCCCGAAGACGGAGATGCAAGTGAGTTGCACTCTGCCCGAAGATGGAGATGCAAGTGAGTGGCACTCTGCCCGAAGACGGAGACGCAACTGAGTGGCATTCTACCCGAAGACGGAGACGCAAGTGAGTGACACTCTGCCCAAAGACTTAGACGCAAGTGAGTGACACTCTGCCCAAAGACGGAGATGTAAGTGAGTGACACTCTGCCCGAAGACGGAGACGCAAGTAAGTGGCACTCTGCTCGAAGACGGAGACGCAACTGAGAGATGATAACAGCAAGCAGGACAGCGTACAGCCAAGCACTGACCTCTCCTCGCAAAATTTGCGCCTAAAACTTCAGCGGTTGGCTAGCAAACGAATCATTTGCATAGCTGACACCGCTCAACTCACCTGTCTCGACTATCTCACGGGAAAGCTGGTAGACCATTTCTTTCTTCAGAACCAGACATTCTGCGGTTCGTACCGTTTCTATTCTTGCAGGGCAGCAATGTGCTGCTTTTCTACAAAGACAGCACACTAAACGTTGTCTCTTTGGCCGATGGGGCGTGTACCTTTATCAGTAGCGGCTGGCTGCTCCGTTTGCATTTCGTCTCCGCTACCCGATTCGCCAGGAAGAAAATACACGACACAGTTCACGACAATAAACCTAAAATCATTTATTTATTAACCCATTTTCCGGCGTAGACGTGTATATACGTTTTTTGAAAATTTATTCCTCCCACCCCGAAAGTGTCTTTTTTCGACACCGTCGAATAAATACGTCCAAAACATAAGGTTAAAAAACCAGCTGCAGACGTGTTTAAACGTCGATGTTGATTCTTTTTATGCCCTTCTGAGCTTGAAACGCGTTCACTTGTCTGGTAGAGGTGTTAGTCAGCGTTCATGTACTTCACCGTACCTCAGATTCTTAGTAACTATATTAAAAACAAATAAATAAAAAAAAATCCTCTGTAAATGAAACGTTTGGCAGGGGAGGGGTTAAACAGTATATCTTTTTCTATAATAAGATTTCTCGAGCATTCAGGTCGTTAGACAAAAATGAATAGATATAAATATACTGTTTAAAAAATATACAGAACGTCTACTCAAATACGAGAATCCACTAAGATAACTTTTAAATAATAATAATAAAAAATAATAATATATATATATATATATATATATATATATACATATATATATATATATATATATATATATATACATATATATAAAACATATATATATACATACATACAGATAAATATATATACATACATATATATATATACATATATATATATATATATATATACATACATATATATACATACATATATATATATATATATATATATATACATACATATATATATACATATATATATACATATATATATATATATATATATATATATACATATATACATATATACATATATATATATACATATATATATACATACATATATATATATATATATATATACATACGTATATATGTACATACATATATATATATATACATACATATATATATACATACATATATATACATACATATATATATATATATATACATATATATATATATATATATATATATATATATATATATATATATATATATATATATATATATATATATATATATATATATATATATATATATATATATATATATATATATATAAGTGAACATTCAAGTC